AAGGGATTCTGCAGATTGATAATTTATTGTCTGACACTGAGTGGATAGTTTGTAGGCAATTTTCCACTAGTCTTCACTCTAAATTAAGTGTTCTCTCAGCCATGTTCCATTTGTGCCCATGTCCAGGTAGTTACACAGCTCCCATCACTGGATAAAAGCAATAGTTTGTGCATCCCATATAATTAATATTTAGAGGATTATATATAAAGTATTTATGCATGTATTGTTTACAATTTGCAGTTTCTTGGAAAGAAATACAACTTTTCCCAAACTGAAAAAAGTCACCCCTCAGTTATAGGTGCTGTATTTATGGGCTTCACATACATTTTCAGAATGCACTTCTATTCTGAAAGAAACCTCCTAGCATTTTTACATACAGGATGCAGAGGTTATCATAAGAAGATGTCTTTGAATAAACAGAGAAAAATTTATTACATATTCTTTTGCCAAAAGTAACATAAACATCTTTTGCCCCCCAAAAATTCAAACCCAAAGAGTTTATCTCAACACAGCCTCTCATTCTGTAGTTGTTTGGCACATAGTAGTAAGTCAGTGTGTAAAGTCTGGAGAACGGGACTCACAGCCTCACACTGAAAATAGTGCCTTAGGAGATGTTCATCAAGTCCATATTTTGTCAGGAGCTGGGCTAGGGGGACTTATTCCTTCTAATAAAGCAATATTGCAATACATCTTCTCTTTGCAAGAGACTGGGTTCAATTAGATTAAAAGCAAAAAAAAACCAGAAAGAGTCATGGTGGTGAGAAGCAAGAGATAAAATAGACAAGATTTTTGGACAATTGAGGAAGCCCTGAGAATGTGGTAGATAAATGGTGTGTCTTGAAATAAAGCACAGCACCTCGAGCACTAGTGCAGAGCACATGGCAGAGGACTTCCTATCTGAAGTCACTGTGCATTACAGAGTTTGCTATAAAGAAAATAGGTCCAAATATCAGTGCTCACACTGGGTGGCACCACAGGAATGTCCCAAAGGGTCAATGTGTTAAGATACCAGCTGGCTTCCACACACAACTGAAAAAACCCATCTAGTCTACTCTTCTTTTCCTTAGACAGCCCCTCTTCCTGTTTAGAGGATCATTTAGTGTCTGTCCCAAGCTTTAAAAGATCTGAGAGCACTCACTTCAGCCTCTATGTTTTTCTCACTGAAGCCTCTTTTCTTTCCCACTGACAGCAGTTTATGACCATCTCCATTTCAGCACTATTTGACTTCAAATTGAAATGATAGTGCACGGGGCCACCTCCCAGCCCAGGCTCATTTCTCAGCAGGCTGGCAACAAAGTCCATCTTTATTTCACCTTTGCAAGTCAGCCAAAGTTCCCAATAAATTACCTGCCAGTACTTTCAGTTCAGGTGTCAGCCCCCCACCACTGGGATTTAAATTGTCACTGCTATGATATTTGCATATTTCAAAGACAGAATTTGCAAAAATATGAATAAATAAGGCTTTTGATAGCCAGCAAGATTGCACACTTGTTGGACATATTACCAAGAGAGAGAGCTAAAAAATGTACAAAGGAGTAGCATAGTCAGAATTTTGTAAAGTTTGAGGAAGGTAAGTTCTAGCTCAAGGGCCATAAGATCAGCAGAATCTCCCCCCAAACATATCCCCTACCCCAAATCTCTTTGCACTAACACTGTTAAGGAGCTCAGTTGTCCATAACCTCTTGATTTAATGCTACAGCATCAGTTAAATTTTCAGAGAACTCGGTTTTCTCTTTTGGTATAAAATACTTGGTAAAAACTCAGCCCATTTCTTGGCTGTGTCTTAATTGCTTATAAAGTTCCTCAGCCAATGGTCAAGTGCTTCTAGAAAATTTTGTTGGTCTTGGTTTCTGTAGGAAACAAATTCTTTATCTGTTCAAATGACATAAAGCCTGACACAAAAGTATATCCAGGCCATATTCAACACCCAGTCTTGGTACACAGGCACCTCCAGGAATTTATCAATAAGTCTGATTGTCTGATCCTGAGAAGCAAATGGGAGATTCCTTTTAATTTGGGAGGGGTGTGGGGGGATATTTTATCTGCTTAGATCCTGAATCCTTTTTCACATAATTTGTACCATTTACCTCCCCTCCCTTAGCATTGCAATCCCCTATAAATACATCTGTGGGCAATTAATTCACACATATCACTGGTCAATTCTCTAAGGAAAACTTCCAGTTTAACCTCTGATACTCTCTCTGTAGCTTATCTCAAAAGGATATTTGACTTGGGAATAAATTACTGGAGCTATTCTCCCTTAAGCAGAATTATTATTGAATTTAAATAATAAATTTATATATATATTAGAGTTTTTCCCACCTTTAACAACATGGAATTCCTCTGTTCTGCTTGGAGCTCAAATTTTGGGATTTGCACATTCCTCCATGTGCACTTAGGTTCTTTCAGCATCATTCAATTCATGGTACGAAGAATTTTGCCAGGGAGAAGCCATAAAAGTTATGGACCATACTCCATTGGCTCCGGCAGGATATTCTCTAATAACAGGGACACTCCTGCAGTCAGCTACTGACAGTCCAGGAATCAGTTTAACAAAGAGGTTTTCCCTGGGAGCATGAATTGACCCGGTGGGTCTGTCTCAGGCTCTTCAGGGCTTTGCCCCGTGTGTGCATCCCTCTCCTCCCGCCTGACCCTCCTGTCTCTCTCTGTGCAGCGCTTCCCTCCAACGGGAGCGGCCCGGGCGGCGGATTCCCCG